ATTGAGATGGAGAAGACCGGAGGAATAGACAGTTTGGAGGGAGACATGATCAGGTCACATGGTGAGTCTTTGCTGTGTATTAGGCATCCAAGAGAAGATGTTGGGTTGGCTGTTTATTTGAGTTCAAAGAAGAGTTCCAGGCTGAAATATAATTTACTTTAAGACAACCAAATTATATTTGTTTAATAACATATTACTCTGGAAGCAGCAGATATGTGTTGTAGAAAGTTAGGACACAGGCAAGCAAAAGGTAAAAAATAGACATCAGTACTGTTAAACCTTAATTCCATAGCTTTCCTCATCTCTTGTACAGATTTTTTTCTAACATGAGATCATTCTGTAATTGCTTCTTTTTCAGTTGATGATTTCACCTAATCCCAGACCACATTCAGGTTCCTTCAGTTCATCCAAAAATGTCATTTACAGCTAGTTAGTCCAAACATATCCAGTTCTCAAAAAAATTACGTCATATTGCCATGTTCCTGGAGTCTCTTAATCTCTTCAGTATATTTTATGCCATCGAGTTGTTGATAAGACAGGACCCACTGTCCTGTAGAGTATTTTAACTTCTGAATTTGTCTGGTTCCTTCCTTGCAGTGTTATTAGTTCTTTTTATTAATTCTAACAGTAAAATAATTTGTTGCTTTTTCTAAAACACCCTTCTGTATAAAAGGTTTTTATGGCTTCTTTTAGCCACAGAAAAAAGGCCAAAACTTTTTAGTCCATTATTTAAGTCCCACCAGAATTTGTCATGTTTGCCTACTTTCCTTTCCTAGTGTTCTTCCCACCCAAACCTCCCTGCTCAGACAGGTAGTGATTAAGAATGTAGATTATGGAGCCAAACTGTATTTAAATCCCAGCTTTGCCACTTACTAGCTGTGACTTTGGACAATTCACTTTATTCTGTGTCTTAATGGAGATAACAGTATGAAAGGGTGTTGTAAAGACAATCTGAATATTTGTATCTTTAGAACAGTGCCTAACACACAGAATGTGATAAGTCTTTTGTTAAATAATTAACCATTCTAGCCTAAATTTCTCCCTTCTCCAAAACAAAAGGCACTGGTTATAGAGTCCTACTCAGCACCTTTGCTCGTGACTTGTTCTCACTGGAGTGCTCTTCCCCTTCCTTTCCTGGCTGTGAAAAATTTAACTTCATCAATCATTTAACTAGTACTGATTGAACACCTGTCAGACACTGAATAAGACATTGAGGGCGTGGCAGAAACAAGACAGAAAGACTTATAGCCTTCAGGGAGTTTATACTCTAATGAGGGGTGCAGCCACGTACACTGCAGTGTGGTAAGTGTTGACAGGTTAAGTTCAGGGTTCACTAAAGGTTCGGACTTGTGGAGGAAGCTTCGGGGAGATGTGAGATATAAGCTGAGACCTGAAGGAAGAAAAGGACTAGCCTATTGAAATGGGCGACACTTCAAGGGAAGCGGGTGGGGTTTGGCAATGAGAATAGTGTTGTTGTTCCCCAAACTGGAGTTTTAAGGGAGAGAGGAGCTGAAGTTGAGGCTAAACAGGTAAGCAAGAACTAGGGCATAGAGGATTTGGAAAACATTTAGGATGGTCCTTCTCAAATTCCATTGCCTGTAGACATCTTCCCAGACTACCTCAGCCAACTTCTCTCATTCCTCCTGAATTTCTTAGTGCTCTGGCTAGAGTGGAGGTTTTGCATTGGGGAAAAGTAGCAATAAAATAGTTGGGGTGGTTTATTTTAAGAAGTAATGAGATGGAGGGTCAGAATGAGAAGTCATGAGATGGAGGGTCAGAATCTGACATCAATAAAATTTAAAATTTTGGACATTTTTCTGTTAAAGAGTAGAAAACACTAAAGATTGATATTCAGAGTGGGTTATCATAGAAAAGGATAATTCTGAGAGACAGAGAGGGGGAGAAGTGTCTGGGAACTGTAATTCATTAAACATAATGCTCTTCCCCTTGATTTTGAAGAGGAAGAGATGAGACTGGAACAGAAGGTAAAATCCAGATCATAAATGGAGTCTTAAGATGTCTGGGCATTTTCTAGTAAGCCATTGGAAATCATTGACAGATTCTATATGAGAAATAACTGGACATTGTTTGCATATTAGAAGATGAATTTAGAAACAATGTAGGGAATACATTTGAGGGGGCCAAATCTAGAGGCAAGATAACCAGTTAGGAGGCCATTGAAGTGGTAATCCAGGTCAAAGGTAAAGAACCCTACAAAGAACTTTAGTAGGAAGAGAAGGAGTAGAGGGATAAATTTGGTAGACATTATTGGAGGCCAAATTGGCTAGACTTGGAGATTTATCAAATGGGAGTGACCATCAGGTAGGAAGGAGGAGTCGAAAAAGATTGCTAAAATTCTGACTAAATATAAGAACAGTAACAGATGGAAGAGGGGGACCATTAGTAGTAAAATATTGAAAAATCAAGCTGAAGGTGCCTCTGAGACTTAGCACTGACTGGTAAAGGGAACTCCAGGCTTGATATATATAGATACGGGAGCCATGGTTACATAGGTGGTGGTAGTTACGGGAATGGAAGGGATGGTTGTGCTGGTATCATTCATTTTCTGTGTGCTGAGCACTGTCCTCAATGCTCTTCATACATTTAATTCTTGTATCAACCAATGGAATTGTCATTTTACAAAGAAAAAGAAAGTAACATATAAAAGAGTTAAGTTATACATAAGACTCCAAAGTTAATAAGTGGTAGAGCCAGGAATGGAACTGTTTGACTTAAAATGTGAAGTAAAACACCATTCTCTGGGTGAAGAGAGAAGAGTGCTCAGGGGAGAATACTGGAGAGCATTGACTTTTAAAGCAGGATAATCACAGCAGAGCTGCCTGTCTCTACATGCCCACGTGTGTGTATGTGCAGAAGCCAGAGAGAGAGGAGGAAAATCCGGAGAATGGTTATGACAGCAACCGAAGGAGGAATTACTGTAACGGATGATTCTGTATGCCAAAAACCACAAAGAAATGACTTTTGAAAAAAATTTCCATTGGGTTTTAATAAGTTGAAATGTATTAGTAACTTGGGCATTTGCTGTTTGAGTGGAGTGATGGTAATGTCAGTGAGATAGCATATTTTATATAAAGCTTTTTAGCACAGAGAATTACTTTTTTTTAAATAGGGAAGAATGAGAGATTAATTTCTCCCATGCCATCTTCTCTTAATCTTATTTTTTCTAAAGATTTTATTTATTTATTTTTAGAGAGAGGGGAAGGGAAGGAAAAAGGGAGAGAAACATCAGTTGCAAGAGATACATCAATTAGTTGCATCTCACATGCCCCCAACTGGGGACCTGGCCCACAACCCAGGCATGTACCCTGTCTGGGAATCGAACCAGTGACCTTTCGGTTTGCAGGCCAGCACTCAATCCACTGAGCCACACCAGCCATAGCAAGAATTACATTTTTTAAGTACAGAAAAAAGTAACTTCTATAATTATGGAGTTAATAAGAGTTAAAGTAGAGACTGTGACTACATAAAACTCTTTCAGATTCCTGACTCTGAAAGAACTTAACTGACTTACCTAAGTTGATCTGGATGGGTTTAAATGTGGATACATTTTTTAAAAGATTTTATTTATTTCTCTTTAGAGGGGAAGGGAAGGAGAGAGGGAGAGAAACATCAATGTATGGTTGCATCTTGTGCGTCCACCTCCGGGAACTGACCTGCAACCCAGGCATGTGCCCTGACTGGGAATCAAACCACGATCGTATGGTTCGCAGGCCTGTGCTCAATCCACTGAGCCACACCAGCCAGGGCTGGATACATTTTTTGAGACAATATAATTCCCACTAGATGATTTATGTTCTGTTTGTGAAATAGCACAGAAATTAATCTCCTGAGAGTGAGAAGGAATGTGGTAATATAGGACCTTGATAAGAGTGGTAGCAATTTGAAATAGCCCTTACTGCAGATGGGAGAAGGTGCAGACTAGGAACATGTGAGGACCCAGCTGTTTTAGTCCTCCTGATAGAATTTTTCTTCAGCGGAACACAAGATCAGAAATAAAGTTGTAGTAAAGGCATTCGGTTAGATGGATCCAGATTGATCTAGATTTAAAGTCATTAAGTACATGTGCTAGAAAGGTTAATACTTTTGAGGGGGGAAGGAAAATATGAATGTTTTGATGAAAGAACAACTTGAAAAGTGGGTCAAAGACTCTGGAATTGATAGAGAAAATTTTTGAGTACTAGAAGAGGCTGCAGAGATAATTAACTGATATTTTGATGAAATTGAACAACAAATATAATGGAGGTGGGAACTTTTGGTCAGAAAAGGGGATTTTGTAAAGTACAAAGGAATGTTCTAGGAGGTTATAGAATTTGAGATCAAGAAAGTGAGAGACTGGAAAATGATGGGTCATCCATCTGTGTGAATATTAAAATTATCCAGGATAACAACAAAATTTGGGGTGGCGTTGCTCAGGTTTCCAGATAGCAAATTGATTAGACCTTGTCATGGGCCTTTAACAAAGGTTGATCTAGATGTGTTTATGGGATGAAATTACTTATTTCCCAGGACATTCACTTAGTGATGGAAGTAGCTACAGAACCTCATCTCCAGTAGATGTGTCTGAGTGGTATTGGGACTGGTTGATCTACAATAATAATGTAGAGAAAGTTAAGAAATCTGCCTGACTTGGATTCTAAAGCCCTGGTGTTTTTGCAACAAGTCGAGCTGCTGCAACTCAATTTTTTATTTTCCCAAATGTTTGGGAGGACCATTTTGTTTTTCCTTCAGCTTCTCCAGAATTAATGAATTTTTTTAGTGCCAGTCATCTATAAAGTGAAGTAGAAATCTATTCAAGGAGTACTTGGACCAAAAACAGAACCTGAAGCAGTCAAGGTTTTAGGCACTGGTTTAATAAGGTGATCATATTAGTTCATTTGTCTCTCCATCCTTCCATTCATCCAATAGCAGGTACACAGTTTGCGAACATTTGGAATAAATTGACTCATTTGGTTTTATTTATTATCTTTTGTCATCTCTAGCTGCCTATCCCCACCGTTTGAATCTCTTTTACCTTGCCAATGATGTCATACAGAACTGTAAAAGGAAAAACGCAATCATATTCCGTGAATCGTTTGCTGATGTCCTTCCTGAAGCAGCTACTCTAGTGAAGTAAGTAAATCCTTACTGTTCTTTGGGATCTAAGCTTAGAAAAATTAGAATTTCATTTCTATTTTTATCCATTAGTAAGAACTGTAATAGTTGTCATGCTTGAAGATCCAAGTAAATTTTGCCCAAGTTGTTCATGGTAACCTTCCTGCTAATACACACATTTTTTGAAAGTCTTTGTTCCTTTTCTGAAAACTTATTATTTACTGCCTGCTTCTTCCTGCCTAATTTATCATATGTATCTCCTGGTCATACTCTCTGGCTGTTATTTCCAGCTGCTTCTTCTGTTTCTGTATTGTTTTCTTTTTTTACACATTTGCATACTTTTTAAAGAGTCTTTCTGAACTCTTGCCCCCTCCACAAAATCTGTTTATTATGGGAAAATGGAAATGTTTATTACCAACTGCATGTTGATTTATTTCATTCTTAGTAAAACTGTACCCAGAATTTTCCAAAGTGATGGAACACATAATCTGATTTTCTTTTTGCTTTTGTTTTCCTTGTGTTTCATTCATATTTATAAGTCGTTTGGTACAAGAGACACACGTGGAGGATAAATAATTATATGGAACAATTAAAATAGCTAAATATTTTCTCAAATTATATATTTATTAGCATAATATTATATTTGTATAAATATATGAATATGCTATATCTTTGATCCAGTTGTTAATATTAACCCCATCAGAACTAAATGATCCTTGTTCCTTCTTTTGGATTGTTAACTTGAGATGTTTACTTGGGTATTACAAAAGATCAGAATATGGTCCTACTTTAATGTACTAAGTAATAAAGGTTTGTACACATGTAGAAAATAACAATAATAGCACCTACCATTTATTGAACACTTGAAATTGACCAGATATTATGCTGTGTGTGCTTTCATTCATTTAATTCTGTGAACAATTGTATAAAGTATTGATAGCCTCTACTCTTATTCCCATTTTAAGGAGGAGGAAACTGGTTTAGGGAGATTAAGTAGCTTGCTTCAGCTCTCACAGCTTTTTGTGTGGGGGTATAGAATTCCCATCCAAGCCTCTCTAGACCCGAAAGCTCACATTCTTTGCCACTTAACACTAGTCTTTGTTACCTCTTCATATATATAAACCCTGTAATTTTGAGTAAGAAAAGCAGTATGCTGGATGACCTTCGCTTAGAGTGTCTGCTGTGACTGTCACTGTAGTCTTTTTAAAACTTAACCTAGTGTTTCCTAGATCTAGATTTCATGACCTAGTTCATGGTTGTCAGCTTTTATTTTACCATGTAAAGATATTTTTTAAAAAACAACTACTTTGTATTACTATTAGTGTTTCACAGTGAAAGGGAAAGACATAATCTCAATATAAAGTACAGTCTTTTAAATTAAAATTTAAACTTCTGAAAATGTTTTTAACTCAGGGAAGGGTGTTTTCAGAAACCTATAGTAAATATCAGACCTAATGGTGAAACAATAAATACATTCCAAGACAGATGCCTTCTATTATTACCATTCACCATTTTGTTGGTTAGTCCATTGATTTCTAAATGAGTAAGAAGAACGTTGGCTGGTATAGCTCAGTGGATTGAGTGTGGGCCTGCGAACCAAAAGATCACGGTTCAATTCCCAATCAGGGCACATGCCTGGGTTGTAGGCCAGTCCCCAGTAAGGGCAATGGGAGAGGCAACCACACATTGATGTTTCTTTCCCTTTCTCCTTCCCTTCCCCTCCCTTCCCCCTCTCTAAAAGTCAATAAATAAAACCTTTTTTAAATAAATAAATAAATAAATAAATAAATAAATAAATAAGAATGTATTTAGAAGAGACAGGATAGTCGTTATTTACACACAATGTGATTACCTACATCAGTAGTGGACAACTTTTTTCTGACCAGGTAGTAAGTATTTGGACCAGGTAGTATTTGAGGCTTTGCAAGTCATAAGATCTCTGTCCCCATTAGTCAGCTTCGCCATTCTTGCACGAAGGCAAGCATAGACAATCACAGATATATGGGGGTTGCTGTGTTCCAATAAAATTTTATTTACAGAAAGGTGCGGCATGCCAGATTTGGCCCAAGGTTGGTAGTTTGCCAACCCCTGGCCTAGGTAGAATCAACTAATAAAAGAGTTCAGTCAAACATCCAGATTCAAGTTCAACATAGAAAAGTTTAGTATCTTTCCTATATATGTCAGTAGTAACCAATTTAAAAAGTGTAAGTTCCAGGCAGGTGACATAGATGAGTGAAGTGGGTTGGATTTGACGAAAAACCCATCAAAAAGGGGCAGCAACTAGTCAGCTCTAGCCTATGGTCATAAAGAAATATGAGCACAGTGTTCACACACACAGTCAGACCTATCAAAGGCTTTTTTGAATTTTTAAGCTAGGTCAAAATCTGCATTTTTATATGAAGTCTTCTAATTTTTAAATGTGCGAAGCTAAATCACAATAAAAAATATTGTTAGCTAAACCATACACATCTGATGACTAAATTTGAGCCTCAGACAGCCCATCCTCTAATGGGTTGTAATGCCTCTGTAATGAGGCATTATTTTATTTCTTTAATCTCTTTAAGGAGTTACTTGATTTCACTTGATTAAAAGTTGCTATGGGGTAGACTCCCTGTCATATGTCAAGACAGATGGCCAAAAGGGACACTAGTTTTTTTTGTTTTTTTTTTAGGGCTATCTTTTTTTTCCTTAGATTTTATTTGTTTATTTTTAGACAGAGGGAAAGGGAGGGAGAACGACGGAGAGAAACATCAACATGTAGTTGCGTGTCATGTGCCCCACACTGGGGACTAGCCCGCAACCCAGGCATGTGCTCTGACTCAGAATGGAAGGGTTGGGAATTGAGCCACGACTCTTAGGTTCGCAAGTCAGTACTCAGTCCACAGAGCCACACCAGCCAGGGTGGAAACTAGTTCTTTCAGATGGTTTGGGAACTTTTTCTTTCCAAATAATTATATAATTATTCCAGTTCCTTCCCTCACTGGTTTGAAATTCCATGGGCTGAGAAGCTGAATGTGCTAGTTGTTATAATGAACATATACATGTGAGAGGGAGGGGCGTAAATGAAGATAAACCAACCCGATGTTATTTATTTGCCATTTATGTCCTAGAGATTCTAGCTCAGGTACAAGAATGCTAAGTCATTTGCATGTCTTTAGGAATGTCAAGAGTTTGTTACCTCTTGGAAAACGGTGGACTGTTCTTCCTCTTCAATAATTTTTTAATTATTTTTTCCACTGATAAGTGTAATACACACAGGTGCCTGTGTTCTGTATAGATTGTAGAAGAATCTCTATAACTGAAGGTTTGCTTGTATTATATTAGAATTGCGTGAGAGTGGATATAGCTTTGATGATAGAACTTTCCTAAGGTCTGTTGCTATCCCAGGTTTTCATAATAAGGCAGTCATTTTTGCTTTTAAATTCTCTTCTTTAATTGAACTGAAAAGTGAATTTATGCTAGTTATCATCATCAGAGCTTAATGTTTTTTGGGTTTTTTTTAAAAATTCTGATGGTATAGAGATGTATGTATGACCTTTGTTGGGATAAGATGTCATAACAGATTTTGGGGAAACATAAGTTTGGTACTCTGAAATACACCCAACTTAAAGGGTTTCTTATGTAGTCATTGATTAGAGTGAAGAATGTCTTAAAACCATTTGGGGCTTGAATTTTGGCAGTTTTCTCACCTTCTGTCAGACCTGCCTTTTTGATCTGTTTATACATTTTCTCTGAGAGACTTAATCTACTCATGGGTTTTAATTGTTAATTCATGTCCTAACAACTACAGGTACTATATTTGTATCTCTAGACTTTGGACTGTCTTCAACTACTTCTGGGAATTACTGCTTCATTGTTACATGATGCTATTTAGCTCAGAATGTCTAAAGCAATAATATACGTTATGTTTGTATAAAGCCCTACAATTGAAATTGTTATACAGCGTTATTTGAAACTCATAGTAACCAACTTTGCAGGTTAGCAAATTAGATTTTATTACTCCTTTTTTTTGAAATTTTTATTTATCTTTAGAAGGGAAGGGAAGAAGAGAACAAATATCAATGTATGGTTGCTTCTGGTGCATCCCCTGCTGGGAACTGGCCCCTGCTGGGCACTGGCCTGCAACCCAGGCATGTGCCCTGATGGGGAATCGAACCTTGATCTTTTGGTTCGCAGGCCTGTGCTCAGTCCACTAAGCTACAGCAGCCAGGGCCAAGATTTTATTATTCCTTTTTACAAATGAGAACACTGAAGCCAAGGACAGTTAAGAAATTGTCCAAAGTAAAATGATAATTTAGTAGATGAGCTCAGAATAGAACAGATTTTTTTTTACTTTTAGTCCTCTTTTATCTCTATTCTGCCACCTAGTCCCCCAAAAACTTAACTTACAAGTTTTTATTTTATAATGGTTCCTTAATAATTTTAAATTCTTAGCCCTTTATTTTTTTTTAATTTTAAAGATTTTTATTTATTCTATTTTTACAGAGGGGAAGGGAGGGAGAAAGAGAGGGAGAAAAACATCAGTGCCTTTCACGGGCCCTCTAATGGGGACCTGGTCGGCAACCCAGGCATATACCCTTACCAGGAGTTGACTCAGCGACCCTGTGGTTCACAGGCTGGTGCTTAGTCCACTGAGCCACACCAGCCAGGGCTTAGCCGTCTATTTCTTAAGTCATTTACCAGGAACCTATTCTTCTGCCGTTTCTTCCTCTTTCTCCACCTTTTAATTTTCCATTATCTCCATTTAATATATTTGTATTATTATAATAGCCTTCTATCTAGTTTCTCAGTTAGTGATATGCTTTTCATTCACTTTAGGCTACGTACACATTGATGTCCTGAGATACGATGGTTTAATAAGGCCATAGGCTCTGGAACCAAGGTACATGGGTTTGAGTCCTGGTTTTGCCACCTCCCAGCTCTGTAACTTTAGGCAATTTAAATTAGCCTCAGTTTCCTTTTCTGTATAATGTAGTCAGTAATAGTCCCTATCCCACAGAATGTGGGAACTGAGTTGA